CGCCGGTAGCCGCTTTGAGTGGCTGGGGAGCCGGGCCGTCCCCGCCGCCGGTACCGCCGCCGGTAGCCGCCGCCGGTAGCCGCCGCCGGTACCCGCCGCCGATACCCGCCGCCGGTACCGCCACCGGAAGCCGCTGCCGGTAGCCGCCGCCGGTAGCCGCCGCCGGTACCCGCCGCCGGTAGCCGCCGCCGGCAGCCGTGCGACCGTTTACATTTCCCGCGCGCGTGCTCATTTTGCAGATTTTGCGCATCATGGACCTGACACGAGTGCGAGGGCGAGCTATTGTAACCGAGCGGAGTGCCCTATCCCGCCCCCGAGACCCTGCCCCACCCTAAAGAACTTACATGTCCGCGCCCGCGGTTCAAGGTCGGCATGCGGAGGCACTTCCACACGGGTAGCTCAGCACAGACCCAGGGCACGGCAGCACCGCACAGCACTGCACCGCACAGCACCACACAGCACCGGACGGCACTGCGCAGCACAGAATGCACAGCCTCACGAAGCTTGGGTTGCTAGGGATGTGGCGGCTCCTTGTCGTGCTCCTGGCACTGGCATCCGCTGGCGAGGACGAGCTGCCTCGTGGAGGAGAGCCGCCCGAAAGTGAGTTGGAGTGGTGGCGAGGTCAGTCAAGCCGCATTTTTGCGGCAGAGGCGCCGGCAGAGTCACCGGCAGAGCCGCCGGCAGAGTTGCCGGCAGAAGTGCCGGCAGATGTTCTCTCACCGGCTGAAGCTGACTGGTGGATTTGGTGGCTGAACAGGCAGCCAGACTCGGACGGCGAGGCCAGTGGAGATGACAGTTCTGGTTCTGCGAGTTCCTCGTCGTCCTCTACGAGCGGCCGTGCTAGGCAGGCCGCCAAGGACTTGGAGAAATTCGTGGCCGATGAGGAGAGACAGCAGCAGCAGTATGAGCGGCAGCGGCAGGCGGAAGAAGCTGAGAGAGCTGCCAGGGAGGCTTGTCGGTCAGAGGCAGAAGAGGCAGCTCAGCAGGCGAAGCGGCAGCGTTTGGACGCCAAGCTGGCGCGCTATGCCGAGCAGCGTGCTCGCCAGGAGCGACAGAGGGCGGTGGAGCAGGAGCACCGGGAGCGAGACATCCAGCGAGAGGCGCAGCGCCTTTTGGACGCAGCTGATGTGGAGGGCAGGGGTATTCCTTTTCTGGTGCGGAGCCACAACGTGCTGCACCAGATCTTACAGGAGCTGCTGCGACAACGCCAGGAAGACCAGGCGGCTCGTCGCGAAGAGGCTAAATTGCAGGCCCAGTTGGTGGCAAGCTTGGAACGCCGTTCGCAGCAGCAGCACCGAGACGCGATGGCTCTGCATGCGCAGCAGCTGGACCTCACAGCTCAGCTTCTGGGAACCTCTTTGGCGGCTGGTGCTTCCACGCCTGCTGCCGCCGGCGGTGCCACTCCCCCCGTGGTGGCGCCGTTGACTCCAGCACCTCAGCTGGCGGCGTCCATAACTCCAAGACCAAAATTCGCAATGCGACGAAGGGAAAGATGCCGACAGTGCGCCGGGTGTATGGCAGCAATAAAAGACGGACGAGTAGTGATGAGAATCGATTGTGAAAGGTGGTCGGTGCCACCAGAAGCGCCCGAGCCAGTCAAAGCAGAGCAGCCCAAAGCAGAGCCGTCCAGCAAAAAAGCCGACAAGAAGGAGAAGAAGCCCAAGAAGCACAAGAAGGACAAGAAGGATATTTCTTCTTGCGAGGCCTGCGATTTGGAGCATATTGGCAAGGGCGACAAGAAGGACGATGATGACGAGGGAGACCAAGGATCTGGTGCAACAGGGGCTTCGCAAGGGGTTGGCGCGATTCTCGAGGATCCCGTTTTGGGCCTGTCGCATTGAGGCCGTGTTTGGCACCGCGAGGGGTGGCGTTCTCCGCTTTGAAAAGGGGTGTCTGGGGTGCGTTGGTTTAATGGGTTTCGTTCCGGGGCTTCAGGGCACCCTAACCCCCTTCGGCCCCACACTAGGAGTGCCTTGCCTGCAAGTGAGTGCGTGTCCGTGTGCGCGAGTCCCCTTACACCCCGTAGGCTCCCGAACCCCGCGTCCCTGCATTAGGTCCCTATCCCACCCGAGGGGTCTGCTTCTGCCTTGACTTTGCTCCGCGCTGCTTTGCTTTTCAAGCCGGGCCGGGGGGTGGGCTGGGTGGGGCGGGCTGGGTGGGACGGGCGGGCACGGCCGGGACCTGAGAGTGCTGCTTTAGGAGGGTCGCCGGTAGGAGTGCAGGTAGGTCCGTCTGCGTGTGCTACTAGGCTTCGGGGTCGGGGTTTTCTTGGAAGGCGGTTAGTGAGGCAGCCAGGCAGTGTTTGTGTGCGCCCCCCCTCCCCGCCCCCTTCCTCCTGCCTCCTCCTTCCGCCCAGGTCCGGACGAGCTTCGCGTCGCGCCGGGCCCTCCCTCGCCAGGGTTTTTCGAAGGTTGGGAGGCGGGGTTCCGTTAGGCTGCAAGGTTTAGAGTGCAGGAGCCCAGGGTTCTCTGCGGGGTCGGGGTTTCGGTTCAGGGTCTTAAGTCCCGAACCCTTGGGGTACCCTAGGCTGCCCTGCGTCCGGGATCCCCGGCCCCCCTCCTCGGCGCCCAGGCGCAGACGGCGGCCGCCACCGACGCGCTTCGGCGCGGGCAAAAAGGGTTGGTTGGGGTTGGGGCCAGGGGGGGCCGAGCGGGAGCACCACTCGCGAGTCCCGGTCCCTCCCTGGCTCGTAGGGTTTAGGGTTTAGGATCGTGGCATGGCGAGGGGCAAAGCCGAGAACCCCATCCGTGACATGGCAAGGGGCCAAGCCGAGAACCCCGCCCCGCCGGGCAACACTGGACGACGCGACGACGGGCGTGCCCAGCCATCCGGGCGAGTGCCCAGCATCTACTCCCGGTGCGACTCAGCCGAGGACCCTGCATCGGAAGGAGGGCTCGGAGGGTCTTCCGGGAACATCACTCCGGCGAGTGCAGGTAGGAGGGTTCTTTGGCAGGACCTGTCGGACTGAGTCGAAGGCCGTGAAGTCGGAGGGATGAAGTCTGTTATTGCAGTTATTTTAGGATCGAGCCGCCCAGCTTTGCTTGTCAGTTTTGCTCACGATGGCTGGCATGCCTTTGGTCGACATGACTCGCTGCGCTGCAGAGAAAGTCCACAATGCCCGCCGTGGTTTGGCACAGAAGACTGTTTTCGGGGACCTTGCAAAGGCTTGCGTCGAGCACGTCATCCCAGATTTGCGCTTTGTCCTGGGCTATTTCCAGCATTTGCTTGACATTGACGTGGAGGACTTCGGTCATCACGGGCCGCTCGGTTTTTGCGAGCCGTACCTCAGGGAGACCCGGGATTTCCTGCGCAAGGAGCAGCTCTACCGCGACCGCCTCGTGCGCGAGACACCTGCCGATGTTCAGCGCCCTCCCTTAACCGAGGTGCCGGAGAAGCATGTGCAGAAGTACGTCCGGTGCCTCTTCCGGCTGGCACGCCTGAGCGTCTTCGAGCCGGAGAATGTCGAGGTCATCGAGCAAGAGCTCAGGCGAAAAAGTCTTCTGGAGTCTTTGTTCGGCTTGGACCGCTGCTCGGCAACGCTTCGCGGGTACTACCTCCAGGAGCTGGCCGTCACGGAACTGACAATCTCCATCACAGAAGGGCATCTGACGGCCAGGTCGGACCAGGATCTGGTCGAATGTATCTCGCACGAGTTGAGCCAATGTCTCGAGCAAGTCTAGGAGCTGGGTCTGGGCAGAGAGATTTAGCAAGCACCTGGACCAGGGCCGGCGACCCGCACAGAGAACGGCCCTGAGCAAAAAGAAGCCGCGCAAAACAGCCTCTCCGGAATTCTCGCACCGCTAGCCGCCTCCTTCTGGGCGCGCACGTCCGCGCGCCCGGGGAGGGGCTGGGCGTCGTCGGAGTGCCCGGGCAGCTCCTCGTAGATCGCACCCGCTCCCAAAAGACCTCCTGCATGAGCTCCTCGAATCTCGCAGCCATTTCTCAGCCATGGAGCATCACTGCCCCGAGTGCGGCAAGGGCTTCGGCTCCCCGAGCCACCTCAAGAGCCATGTCACCGCCGTGCACCGCAAGGAGAAGAACCACGCCTGCGGGGAGTGCGGCCGGGCCTTCGCCCGGAAGGACGCCCTCCGCGAGCACGTGCGCATCGTGCACCGCGACGAGCGGCCTCACGGCTGCACGGAGTGCGAGGCTCGCTTCCACAAGGCCTCGGATTTGAAGAAGCACCTGGCCCTTCATTCCAAGAAAGGGCGGGTCTGGAACCAGTCCCGCCGGGAGGAGGCCGTGGCCACCTTCCTGGAGAACTCCGGCGTGGCCTTCGAGCGCCAATGTCGGGTCGACTTTTGCGAGCCGGGAGCGCCTCCCCACGGGCTGGCCCGGCTGGACTTCGTCGTGTACCGTGAGTGGGGCACCTGTGTCCTGGAGGTCGACGAGTACGAGCACTTCTCCAAGCCGCAAAGCTGCGAGTGCAAGCGCATGCTGGACGTCTACGCCCAGCACCTGCAGAGCTCGCCGGGCTCCCGGCTGAAGTTCGTGCGCTTCAACCTGGACTTCTTCACCGTGGACGGCGAGCATCAGGAGGTCCCCGGCGGGGAGCGCTTCGACCGCCTGCTGCGGGCCGTGGCGGAGCCGCCCGAGCGGGACCTAGAGGTCTGCTACCTCTTCTACAGCAGCCGCGCGGGCGTGCCCACCGTCTGCAGTGATCCGGGGTACCCGGAGGAGCTGAAGGGGGCCGTGTCGCCGTGATCGCATCGCGCAGCAAAAAGGAGAGCGCGCCTGTTTAGGCACCCGAATGGGCACCTGAATGGGCACCCGAATGGGCACCTGTTGGGGAACCTGTTGGGGAACCTGTTGGGGAACCTGTTGGGGAACCCGAATGGGCACCCGAATGGGCACCCGAATGGGCACCCGAATGGGCACCCGAATGGGCACCCGAATGGGCACCCGAATGGGCACCTGCGCGTTTATTCTGGCCCGCAGCAGATCTCAGCTCTCAGAAAGCAACTCATCCGACCATCGCTACTCTCGCCATCTTCGAAGCCATGCCGAGCCAGCACGCACCGGAGACCAAGCGCATCCAGTACCTCACCAGGATTTTGGCGGCCGGTCGCACCGAGAGCACCAATCCCCACGACCTGCGCCCCGAGGAGATCACCAAGCACAAGAAGGAGCTCGAAGCCCTGAAGCTTCAGCGCTCCCAGGGCATCAAGAACCGCCGCCACACCACCGCGGAGGCGGACCGGGTGATCCAGTCCGTGGAGGCCGTGGCCGCTTCCCACGCCGAGGACATCCGCCTGTCCGCGGCGGTCGTGGTGCGGCACGTGGACGGCCGCTTCGACGCCGCGACGGCCGAGAGGGCCGCCATGAGCACCCAGCTCGCCGCAATCCAGGGCCGCCTGGAGCAGGTCGTCGGCGTGCCCGGGAGCTCCAAGGACTGCGAGCATCAGATCGCGCAGCTCCGGGAGCAGAAGAAGCGCAAGGCCCAGGAGGAGCGCGTGGAGCAGAAGGAGGCGGAGAAGCGCCGGAAGCTCCTGGAGCCCTTCCGCGTGCCCTTGGAGGAGGGCGACGTGGAGAAGGACGGCGTGGTGCTCCGCGGCGCCGGCACCGCCTGGGCCGCGGGGTGCAGAGTGGACGCCGACGTCGACTTCCATGAGATGCGCTGCAAGGTGGTCATCCTGGCGGAGAAGACCACGCTGCAGCTGAAGCACATCAACTCCGACCAGCTCGGGGCGCTGCTCCGGGCCCAGGGCTACGGAACAAAGGTCGTGCGCATCTTCGCGCTGGCCAAGGGCGCCCAGGAGTTCGTCCGCGTCAAGCTCGAGAAGCACAGGAGCAAGCCCCTGCAGGTCATCGCCATCGAGGCGGCGCAGCCCATCCAGGTCTCCCGCCTCCTCGCCGTGCGCTTCGAGACGTTCCAGTTTTTCCAGTCCTACCTGCCCTTGGACGGCGCCGCGGTGCCCCCGACGCCGGCGTGGATGGCGGCGCCCTGCACGCCGGCCCCTGCCACCCCTGCCCCTCCCACGCAGGCCCTGCCCGCCCCCGTTCCTGTCGCGGAAGCCATGGCCGTGGAGGCCGAGATGCCGGCCGTGGAGGCCATGGAGGCCCCGCCGGCCGTGGAGGCCCCGCCGGCCGTGGAGGCCCCGCCGGCCGGGGAGGCCCCGCCGGCCGTGGAAGCCGTGGAGGCCCCGCCGGCCGTGGAGGCCCCGTCGGCCGTGGAGGCCGTGGAGGCTGTGGAGGCCGCGGGCGAAGCGGCCGGCCGCCGATTCCGCCGAGTCCCCTTGGAGCGTCGTGGAGGAGCCCGCAGCGCCCGAGTCCGCGATCGGGCCCTACGTGGAGCCGGCCCAGCGCCCGTTGTCGCCGGAGGTCGCTGCGGCCCTCGCAGCCCAGCCATGCGCGGACGAGTTCCTGGTCCGGGAGCCCGAGCGGCCCGCGGAGCCGGAGCTGGTGGAAGTCCACGGGTTGAAGGGCTCCTGGCTAGAGGACCGTTGGTTCCAGCTGGCAGCGAAGACCTCGGAGGAGTTCCAGGAGGCCCTGGACGTCATCACGGCGAAGGGCCCCGACGTCTTCGACCAGTGCCGCATCTCCGGCCCCGGGCGCACCTGCAACGAGTTCTACAAGGTCAACAGGGCCGGCAAGGTGGCGGCGCCCAGGGCGAAGGTCTCCTACGAGCCCGAGGAGGCCAAGGTGAGCGTCCACGTGGTGAGCTCCTAGATTATAGGAACCATTTCACCGTGCAGACCGATGAACGCGGAGGCCCGTGCACAGGCGCCGGAGCGGTCCGGGAAAAAGACCTTGTGAGTGTTTCGGATGAGCGCATGTCGCCTCGCCACAGCCAGCTCGTAGCCTCAGCCTCCTTCAGCTCCCAGCCTCCTTCAGCCATGGAAGTCGTCGGGCAGATCTTTCTGCGGTGGCTCCTCGTGGAGAACTTCCGGCTCCACGAGGAGTTCGTGGATCAGCCCCAGCCCTTGTGTTGCGACATGCTGGGGCCTTGGCACCGCGCCGCGACCTACCTCCTGTGGGGGCGCTGGATGCGGCAGTGCCTGCTCCTGGGCGGCGTGCCCGAGCACCTTCGCCTCCAGGTCCGGCTTCAGCTCCAGCGAGCCGGGCGCATCGTGACCGCGGCCTGCCTCGTCGCCAGTCGCGACCTCGAGCGCGCGAGCCGACTCACGCGGTGCCCGATCAGGGCTCCGATGTCGTGCTTGTCGGCCCTGCCGGAGTTCGGTGAGAGCGAAGCATACGTGCAGTTGGTTTGCGACTGCGTGCGCTTCGTCACCGCGGACCCCGTGTCTCAGCTGCGCAACCCGCGGTTGGCAGTCTTCCTTGACGGCGATAGAAGCTGCATGCGGGATCGCCTGGCAACCTTGATGCACCATCTGCTCGAGGAACCGGAGACCGACTACGACGACTTCGAGTAGACGGCCGAAAGAGGCCACAGGCACAGGAGCGGTCCGGGAAAAAGCTGCCGAGTCTCGCAGTCTCAGTTCCTGAGCGCAAGCCGTGTTGCCGCAGCCGTCTTCAGCTCGTCGAAGCCATGGTCGCCCGCGTCCGAGAGTGCATGGCCAGGATCCGCGCGGCCAAGGCGGCCGCCAGGAAGATCCGGAACCTGCGCGCCTGCTCCGGGAGCTTCCTCCCCGCGGCCCTGCTGGCCAAGATGGTCCGCGACGCGGACGATGCGGTGCGGGCCGAGGACCGTCGCCACCACGAGGCGGTGATGGAGGAGCTCTTGGCCGAGCAATGCAAGGCCCTCGAGGAGGGCCTGGAGTACTTCGAGCCGGACACGGTTCACAACCTGAACCCGCACCACCCGGGCACCGAGGTCACCCGCGCCAAGCTCGCGCGGGCCGGGGACCTCCTCCGGCGGGCCACGTGGCACCTCCGGGACCGCGGGCATTCCGCGAGGGCCCGGTACGTCGAGCGGGCCTTTCTCCGGTGGGAGTCCACGCGGCACCTGCTCGCGGAGAGCCCCCGCAAGACCATCGCATGGCTGCTCCGCGAGAGCTGCGGCATCTTCTGAGGGGCTCTTGCACACAGACCGTGGAGCCCGGTCGCGCAAAAAGACTCTTCGGTTGTGCCACTGAGGCGGGGCCACCGGCCCCGGATTGAAGTCCCGCAGCTGCCGCACCGCCAAAGGATCGATTTGGAAGCCATGGCTGCAGTCGGCGAATTCGTCTTGGGGTGGCTCTTCGAGATCACCTTTCCGCTGCACGCGGAGTTCTCGGAGCGGCCTCAGCCGCTGCTCCAGTACAGCCGCCAGTGGCAGTGCAGCTGGGACTACCGCGCCTGGGCCAAGATCATCCTGCAGTGCCTGCTGTGCGGCGCGGTCCCGCCGCACCGGCGCTTCGAGGTCCGCTTTCAGCTGCAGCGTGCGGGGCGCCTGGCGGGCGTCTGCGAGGAGATCGAGATGCGCGACGTGCTGCGCGCCAGCTGGATCCTGGAGCGCCCCCTGGTGCCGGCCAGCTTTTACCTGGGCGCGGTTCGAAGGATGGGAGAGAGCGATGACTACATCCACGTGGTCGACGCCGTCCTGCCGGAGCGCCCCGCCGGCGCCCGGGAGCTGCCGCTCGACGGCGAGGCTCCAGATTTGTCGCCGCGGAGCCTGCAGGACGCGACGGAGTACATGGAAGCACTGGTGGAGCAGCACCTGGAGGGTGGCCTCTTCGACGAGGGGTCCGAGAACCAGGAAGATTGAAAAAAAGTCACGTGAGCAGTCGTGGGGGTTGGGGTGGGCGGTTGAAGTCTCTGAGCTGGCGCACGGCCAAGGGCACCGGCCGTCGGGTGAGCCGGGCCACGGGCTCGCCGCTGCCCCGGGGCACGGGCAGCGCGTGCTTGAGTAGGGTCTCGCTGCCGTCCGTGGCGCGGACCGTCATGGAGTCGAAGCTCGCCAGGTCCCTCGCGGGGCCGTACTGTGGCTGGAAGCTTCGCGCCGCATTCGTCGGAGCGCGGAAGGCGCCGGCCTCCTCGAGCCGCCGCTGCCGGCCCTCGGTGAGGTCCTTGTTGTGCTGGAACTTCTCCGCGTTATCCTGGTAGACGCGGAAGCTGGCGGCCGGCTTGGTCTCCACGTCCTCGGGCGCCACCGTGACCGCCGCGTGCGGTCGGGCGTTGTAGGCCTCCGCCACGTCGTCCACGTGGTCCCCCCAGCCGCCGCCGCTGCGGGCCACCTTGCCCGCCAGGTCCTTCTTCAATGTTTGGATGGCGCGGTCTATCACCGCCGTCGCATTGCGGTCCGCCGGGTCCTTCTGCCGGTGCACCACGCCTCCGGGCAGCGCCGCCTCCAAACCCCGGAACTCGTTCCCTTGATCCGTCGTCACGACGTAGTTGCCCTCTTCCTGGACCAAGTCCGGGATGATCTCTGCCGCCGCCCGGGTCACCGTCTCCGCCCGTTTGTCGGGCAGGGCCTTCGTGGCCACCTCCCTGGTGAACACGTCCGTGACCACAAGCCCGAACTTGTTTGCTCCCCGCGTGTTCTGGCTGAAATCGATGAGGTCCGCCTGCAGCCGGTCGTTCGGCCCCTCCGCCGCGCTCTTCCCCAGACTCCGCGGCTTGGGCGCCAGGACCTGCCGCGCCACGTCGCTGCGCAGGGCCGCCTGGGCCCGCGCACTCGTTAGGTCCCGTCGGTCCGGAAACTCCCGGCGGGCTATCTGGTAGAGCTTCCTGGGGTCCCGCACATTGAAGTCCCGGGCCAGCCGCCCTAAGAGCTCCATCGCACCGTCCTCTGCCATTTCTAATCCGAGTCGCCTTTGCGCCCCTTCTTCTCGAGCTTGTCGACCCGCTTCTGTAGCTCCTTCACCGTGCCCCAAAGCACGGCCACCATGCGCTGGTAGTTCAACGTCAGCAGCCCCTCGTCCGTCTCGTGGGTGAACATGGGGCCGAGCTTCCCGGCCGCCTGGACCTCTTGGGCGATGAAGCCCACCTGGTCCTTCTGCCCGCTGTCGGACCGGTCGTAGATCTTGGCCTCCACCGCATCGAAGATCTCCCGCATGTCCCGGTGCTTCAGCGTCCGCACATTGGTCTTCACGCTCCGATCCGAGAGCTCCGTGAAGCCGTAGGTGGCCACCATCCAGCCGGGCAGCGACGGGTTGCTCTGGGGGTAGATGATCACATTGGCGCTGCTGAAGCCGCCGCTCACGTTCGTCAAGCTGATGGTCTGGTTGATGCTCGCCAGGGTGCAGCCGCCGGTAGAGGCCACCTCCAGGTCCGCACCGCCCAAACCCCCGTTGGCCAGCAGCCGCAGCCTGGCGAAGCCCGTGGCCGAGGTGTTCTCGACCTCGGCGGTGACGATGGACTGATTGCCCGTCACCTGCATCCTCTCGCACTGGTGCTGCACGCCCTGCGTGCCGCCGACCAGCTGCAGCCAGCTGCTGGTCGTCACGAGCCCGGGGTCCGCCACCAGGGCACCGCCCATGTAGACCGCCCCCGTGTTCACGTAGATGCCCTGGGTGCCGCCGGTGATGGTGAGGTAGTCGTCCGTGGGCCGGGCCTTCACGATGGGGCTCCGCAGCTCCGTGGTGAGCTCCACGCTGTCGGAGGTGGTGGTGCCCGCCACGGCCAGGCCGCCGTTGGCGGAGACGAGCCCCGTGGCCGCGATCGTGGAGCTGGTGTTGAAGGCTCCCGTTGCGGCGGTGCTGCCCACGAAGAACTGGGCGAAATCCGCCGTGGTGGCGTTCAAGGTGCTGGCCGCAGCCACGGTCACATCCCGGTCCATGCTGATGCCGCCGTCGGCGAAGGAGGCCAGCAATGCCCCGTCCTCCTTGCGGATGGTGACCAGGGCGTTCTGGACCTGTAGATCCCCCGCCGAGCTCCGGAGCTCCGGCGCGTCCACGAAGCTCGTGGCCGTCAGGGAGTTGACCGTCAAGTCGGCCGTGGGGGCGACCCCGCCGCTGCTCTCCAGGGCCGTGACGCGGGTGTCGATATCCGGCACCGTGGTGTTCTCCAGGGTGGTGACGCGGGTGTCGATGGAGGTGACCTGGGAGCCCAGGGAGTTGAAGGTGGCGACCAGAGGGTACCGCCCGTCCGACTGGCCCTTGCTCCAGCAATCGCAGCTGATTTGGAGGGTGCTGCCGTTGCCCAGGATGGGCTGGGCGGAGAGGGGGCTTTGGCACAGCAAATTGCGGATGATGTTCGGAGTGAACTGGGTCTGCGCGAGGTTGAAGATGCCTCCTCCCTCGGCGCCGGGAGTGGTCACGAAGTAGCGCGCATCGAGCGGGCCCAGGTCGTTCGTGCGCAGGAAGCGGGAGTCCGCTTCCGCCTTGGACCAGGAGTCGCAGCGGAGCCGCAGCGTACTTTGATTGCCTAGAATGGCGTCGCCCACCAGCGGCGCCTCGAGGAGCAAGTTCCTTACAATCCTGGGCACGAATTGCTCCTGCACCAAGTTGAAGATTTGCCCGGACTCGGCGCCGGGAGCGCGCACGAAGTAGCGGGCGTCCCCCGCGGTTTGGTCCAGGAAGCCGGCGATGGCGTCGTCGATCTCCGTTTGGGTGCGCCCTGACGTCCAGTATTGGGTCAGCGTGGCCGTGAGCAGGGAGTCCAGCTCGGTCCGGGGATAAAAGGCCAGCAGCTCGTTGGCCACGTAGGCCTGCGTCCCGGCCTGGTCGTAGTAGCCCGAGAGGTCGATGCCCGCCAGGGCATCCGCGATCTCCTGATCCGTTTCTGCTCTGGTGTAGAAGTCCAGCAGGGCCGTGATGATCTTGTTGTCGACCTGGGTGCTGTTGTCGTAGCTCGACAGGGCCGAGGAGATGGCCGAGCTCACCTGGGCGCTGGTCTGGTAGTTCGTGAGCTCGCCGGCCACGTAGGTGGAGACCTCCGTTTGGTCCCAGTAGGGCACCAGCGCGGTGCTAATCAGGGCCAGCACGTCCGCTTCGTTCTGGAACTGGGAGAGGTCCAGGGCGTCGATGGCCGCCGTGATTGCAGCTCCCGTCTCGAGCTGGGTGTAAGTCTCGGATCGGGCGTAGCTGTCCGACTCGATGAGGATGGTGTCGTCCAGGTTCTGGAAGGTCGCCGTGAGGGCGCCGGCCACGGAGAGGTTGCGTAGCACATTCGTGCCCCGGAGCAAATTGAAGGTGGCCCCGCCGTTCCAGGTTTGGCCGTTGCTCAGGGTGAGGGGCACGAGCGCAGCCGTGATGGCCGCCTGCACTTGAGCTATCGTCCAGTAGGGGCTCAGGTCGATGGTGGCCAGCCCTGCCGCGATGGCGGCGTTCATCGCGGCGGTGTCCGAGTAGGCCGCCAGCGCTGCCGCTATCGCTGCGTCCCTTTGGACGATGGTCCCGTAGGGCACCAGCGCATCGGCGATGGCCTGGGTCATCTGCAGCGTGGTGCTGTAGTCGGCCAGCTGGGTGTCGGTGTAGGTGTTGGCCGACGCGATGGCCGCCACGATGTTCGCCGTGGACTCCGCCCGCGTGAAGTAGTCGGCCAGAGCCGCCGTGATCGCGGCGTTGCTCTCCAGGGCCGTGTAGTAGCCGCCGAGCTGGGCGAGCACCCAGGACTCGCTGGCCTTGGGCGCCAGCAAGGCATTTGCCTCCGCCTTGGAGTAGGCGTCGCAGGCGAAGGACAGGGTCCAGTTGTCGTTTGCTAGCTGGATGCTCAGGGGAGCGGTGGCATGTAGGCCGCGTATTTGATTTGTGCCGGCGAGGAGGTCCCAGGTAATGTTCCCGACCCAGGCGGGTGCGTTCACGAGATTAGTGGCACCGCCGAGCGTGGCGATTTCCGCGAGCAGCCCGTCGATAGCGGACTGCAGCGAGACCTGCAGGGCCGTCAGGTCCCCGCTGGTGGCGAAGGGTCCGGCGTTCTGCAGCGCAAGGATCGCCGCATCCGCGGCGTCCAGCCGGGAGTCCTGGAGGGCTTGGCCGGCATCATAAGCGCCCTGGGTGACGTACCCGAGCAGCGCTGTGGTGAGATCGCCCGCGGTTTGGTAGCCCGCGCCCTGCAATGCAGCAAGCAGCGCCTCGGCGGCGTCGAGCCGGCCGTCTCTCAGTGCCAGTGCGGCATCCAGGGCCGTTTGCTGGACGTAGGGCAGCAGGGCCGTGGCGATGAGCTGACTGACGTCGGCCGGCGTGGTTCTGAGAGCTAATCCAGCCGTGAGGTCGCTGGTGCTGGCCATGGGGAGCAGGGCCGTGGCGATCAGCTGGGAGACGTCGGCCGCTGTTTGCCGGGCGGCGACGTCCAAAGAGAGCTGGTCCACGACACTTTTGAGAGCGTAGGTTGCGGCCACGGTGGCCAGCGTCGCGTTATTGGCACTGGTGACGCTGCTGTTCATCGCAGCCGTGGTCGGGTGGTTCGCCAGCTTGAGGTCCACGCTGGCCGGCGTGCTCTTAGAATCGACCTGAACCTGGAGAGCATCCAGGGCCGACTGGTTTGCCTTGGTGGCCAGGCCCTGGGTCAGGCTGGTGTTCACGGCCACGAGGCCGGAAGCGTTGGCGAGGATGGAGCCCTCTGTGGCGGCGAGGTCCGCGGCCAGAGCATAAGGGGTTAGGTCCGGAGCGGCGGGCAGGGCGGACAGTTGGCCCTGCAGCGCTGCGATGGCTGCTGCGTTGACTCCGATGGCCGCGGTGTTTGCCGTGTGCTCCGTTTGCGGGGTATACGCGGTGAGGACGGTGGCGAGCTGGCCGGCACTGATGCCCTGGAGCTCGATGACCGGCGGCTCCGTGACGCCGTCGTCCAGGATCCGCCCGGTCAGGGTGGAGGGAAAGAGTGACA